TTTCAAACGTGCGAAGAAATTGATTCTCGATCGATTGGATCTTGTTAACGCATCACGTGTTAAATTTTTCTGAATGATTTTTACTATTTTTTATTGTTTCGTTTCCTTCTTTCGAACGGAGTGCAGACGAAAGTGTACACAATAAAAAACGATATAAAAAAGAACACTTCATCATTGTCGCGTGCAGTAATAACAAAATAAAGATCAAGCGAGTGACCATCGAGACAATGAGAGATCTGTAGTTCAGAAAACAAAATGTACGATTCCGACATTTCAGTAGACACTCTGTCAATGAAGTGTAACAATCATGTGTCGTGTATGTGTGCGTACCTGTGCGTGCACGCATACGTACGCGTCGAGTACGATGCGTGAAATAGATCAAATGATTTTTATTGATAATTTAAATAATAGTTTTCGAAATAAATATGGATCATTTTCAATGATTAATCTGAGAACGTGAACCGTTTAAAAATTCGTCAGAGATGTTCGATGCAGAGAATCTTTTATTAAATAATCATTAGAAAATCATTAATCAGAAAACTTAGTAAAAACTTAAATAAAAATATTCAATTAAAAACTAACAGATTTTTAAGATTATCATTCTTAAAAATAAATTCTTCTTAATATAGAAAATCAAAGTTCAATGATTTATCTCGAGCATCGCTAACATCTCCAATAAAAATTCTAAAATCGAAGCACTTTTTTAGAAAAGCTATTCAAAAAATATAAAAATTCCAATGTCGATGTCTAGTTCAAATAAAAAAGATTACAAAAAAAGAAAAAAAAACTACTATGTCTCTCAAAATAATCATTAGTAAACATTTGACCATTTCCAACGCATCATATCGGATCGATGGAAAATATTACATCGGCTTTCTCGTAATAGATTCATTTTACGAATATGAAAAATATTCTTAATTCTAAATTAATTCATCGATTATACTTGGACTCGTCGCATAAACGATTTTAAATTATCACATAAACAAAAACCAATAGATAAAAAAGTCGTTATTAGATTATAACGATTCTAAAATATCTACGAAATTAATTACACAATTTCAAAAGTTAACGTGTTTTAAATTAAAGCAAATTAATCTATTTTTGCATTCACAAAACCGACATCACTTTTCCACCGATCCAATGTATATATACTCATGTCTCTGTATAAGTGTGTCTCTGTACGTTGCGTGTCGTGTTTATTAATGTGTTATGGCGTCTGCAGCATGGATGTGAGTGCATGGAATTTTTCTGCTAGGTAGTAGTATATTGGTTTCTCTGGTGGGTAGTTGGGAGACCCACCTTCGGTTGACAAGATTGTCTCTGTAAGGATCGCGGGGCTGCCGTTTCATAATGTCCGACTCCGGTGCCTCGTAAGCTAGCGAGATGGCCGGCACCTGCCATCCACCATTGATTAGAAAAAATACGTGTACCAGGCACCCCGTACACCGTATATAAGATAGTATAGAAAATATATATATATATATATGTACATGTATGCATATTTACATTATATTTACAAAATTTAAATTGTGCGCCGGTGCATTCAAAAGAGTCAGGAATCGTCACGTGACCTGGATTGGAACAAACATGGCCGACCAGAGAAAGAGGTTGCACAGGTTATTAGATCTTCTCGTATTTTTTGGATTTTGGATTTTCTTTCGTGCTTCTTCCAAAAGAAAATTAATGAAAAATCGAAGAACTCTCTTTTGGAGAAAGAATGGTAATTGAATATTAGTATAATTATCGTAATTTGTTTATTTATTTACTTTTCGACAGTGACAGGAGAATTGTAAAAAATTTTATCAATCCTCGAGTCACGAAATTTACTAAATATTAATCTGTATAAAAATATTGATAATATTATTATTATATTTCAATTTCTTTTTTCCAAATTCCCCACTCTTTCGTGCACCCCGAGTACGTAAAAATTCAAGCTTCATTTTTGTTAGTATCTTCAGGCACGTGATCCCTCGACGCACAGAGAGACTGATTGTTATTGTTAAAAAAATTCGTTTTTACGTAGAATATTTATATAGAAAGGATAATTTAGAGACGAATGGTTTCAATTCGAAAGATGATCAGTTTGAAAAAGGAAATAATAAACAGGCTCTCTAACCGTACGAGGGATCAACAAACAACCTTGTTCCTCCCCCTGTTATCATATAGAAATGCAGATCGGGTCGGTGAGATGGGCGACGATTAGCAAGAAATTTTCGTTCGGCAAAAAAGGTAGGTATTCTCATAATAATAAAAAATATATATTCTCGTTCGACGGTCGTTAGAAAGTTGCCAGTCGCAGAAGTGGTAGAAGGCAGCGGCGGTAGGCACAGCGCATTACAGAATAAAATGTGAGAGGACTGTAAAGAATAAAAAACTGCAAAGAAGAAATCATGACGCCTAAAAAATGTACAAAGTGTGCTATATCTTTTTTATGATTATTTTTTTTTTCCCTTTTTTTTTTTTTTTCTGTAGAGATTTTTAGTATCGACTTTTAGTGTCGTTTGTCCCGATTTCTATTTTTTTTT